AAAAAAAAAAAAAAAAAAAAAAAAGTCAAATCTGAATAAGCATTCCACTACATAGGCGTGATTAGATTGATGGGTTGACATGTAGGATTCCTATTGGACCCCAATTCAAACGGACTCTCATTTTCTACTTCCAACCTAATAAAAGTCTACTCATTGCCCACAATAAAAAATAAATAAACAATAATATATATATATATATATATATATATATATATATATATATAATTTTAAAAAGTTTTATCATACACTAATTTTAATATTAAAATGATAATAATTAATTATGAAAGTTTCATCAGAGGATAAAAGTCTAATTTTAAAATTTATAAGTGAATTTGGTTTGTTACACCCCTCTTTACCAGTTTAATAAATAATTATTATTTATATTTAAATTTTTTTTTATTTTTTTTATGTGTGAGTTCCTATTTAAATTATTTTGTGTTTCGACATATTAAATATATTTATGATATTTTAGTTAGACAATGGAGCACAAATTTAATTTATTTAAATTTGTTTTAGAGTTGAATTAAAATAAATGTATGTTTTTTTTTTAATTATTAGAACAAAAAGAATATTCAACTCTTATTAACCTCTTGGTGTAAGGTTTGAACTATTTTTTTATTTTTATTTTTGCAATTATTAGAATAAAAAAAAAAAAAGGCTATGTGAATAGTCACGAGCAATTGGATATTAATGTCAACTCTATGTGATGAAATAGATGTTTTATTATATAATAATAGAACTATAAAGTCAAAGAGTCATGCTCTTTTTAGTTATGAATCTTGTCTTTTACTTACTTTTCTATACATTACGCAAAAAAATAAAATAAAATAATAAAAATTATACGAGAACGGTCGGTACTTTTTTTTCTTTTTTTTACCGTGTCTTCGATCAATTTAATTTAGATTATCCCAAAAATACATTTAATAATGGTTTCGTAATTACTTTTGAAATGTAAATTCATTAAAATTTGTATAGATTCGTTTACAGAAAGTCAAACATTCTACTGTTTATTGTTTTAACAAATTTATACTTCAATTATAGTTTTGATACCCATAAAGTTTAAGAGTACTTTTTCTCTAATTTAGCGGCTAAATCGATAATCGGGTTTTTATTTTTATTTTTTTAAATATATAAATAAAAGAGTAATAACAAGTAGCTCAAAGAATTGTAATAAAAGAAATGAACCACTTAAGGTAAGGTGACTCTAAAAACTGTGTTGGACTGCCTATTGGTGAATTGAAAAGCCATATTTCCTTTGGTCTTGTTGGCTAAACATCTCCATAGTAACAACCTGTCCATTGCTTCCCTTCAAAGATCTCCCATGACGCTCTGACCCATCTAAGGGTATCATAGCTCGTTGAGAATAAGGAAGGACATACTGGATGTAATCACTCTCTTGCTTGGGGACTGTGCGGCCTTGCCTTTACGATCGATACGCAGTTGAGTAGACATCAATCTTTTATTTGAAACATTACCTAAACTACAAATTTAATTCTTATAATTAAAAAAAAAAAAAATTGAAATGTTGTTCTTACACATAAAAAGAGTATTGTATAGAACTATTAAGATAAAATTGTCAGATACATTCTTCCATTCCAAATTTGCAACAAGTTACCAAAAATGAGAAGGTAAAAAATTATTATATAATTATTTGGTAACCATATCCTAAAATTCCTAAATTTTGCATGCTTATTTAATTACATACCTTTTAACATTTCCAAGTTTCCATAATTACCACTTCCAAGTTTAAAAATATCAATAGTCTATTATTAAAATTATTATTATACGAATCAAATAAATATAAACTAGCATTAATTTATAAATTATGCTAATTTATTGTTGTGTTAACCCATTTTTCTTAAATTCAACATGAACTCAATTATTCCACCATCAATTAAAACAAATGAATAAAAAGATACAATAACTACATTCTACGGGGGGTTGTATCATAATTCTAAGTTCAATGTCTATTTATTTTTAATTTTATGTTAAAAAGTAAAGTTTTAGATGAAATTTAGAAAGGTTGAAAATAAAATTTAATTTATATTTAATAAATTAGATTAATTTTAATTTTTAAAAATATATTAGATATATATTAGGCAAAATTAAAATGTATTTTTAAATTTTATTAAAAAATAGAGATATTGACTTATAATTTATCCAAAATAAATAAATAAATAAATAAATAAAGTTAAATATTGGAAATAAAAGTCCACCAATTAGGAGAAGGCACTACCGTTGAGTTCCATCCCTTTAATTGATTATTCA